CTAATGGCATGTTAGGGTGCATTAAGAGGAGCATTGCCAGCAGATCCAGAGAAGTGATTATTCCCCTTTATTCAGCTCTGGTGAGGCCACATCTGGAGTATTGTGTCCAGTTCTGGGCCCCCCACTATAGAAAGGATGCGGACGCAATGGAGAGGGTCCAGCGGAGGGCGACCAAAATGATGAGGGGGCTGGAGCACAGGACCTGTGAGGAGAGGCTGAGGAATTTGGGCTTATTTAGTCTGCAGAAGAGAAGAGTGAGGGGGGATTTGAGAGCAGCCTTCAACTTCCTGAAGGGAGGTTCCAAAGAGGATGGAGAGAGGCTGTTCTCAGTAGTGATGGATGGCAGAACAAGGAGCAATGGTCTCAGGTTACAGTGGGGAGGTCTAGGTTGGATATTAGGAAAAACTATTTCCCTAGGAGGGTGGGGAAGCACTGGGATGGGTTCCCTAGGGAGATGCTGGACTCTCCACTCCTAGAGGTTTTTAAATCCCAGCTTGACAAAGCCCTGGCTGGGTTGATTTAGTTGGGATGCTCCTGCCTTGGGCAGGGGGCTGGGCTTGATAACCTCCTGAGGTCTCCTCCAGCGCTAGGATTCTATGAGTCTATGATAAACAAAGCTGGATTTTTCATTGCCAGGAAATGGATGTTCTTGCTATGAAATGACATGGGCCCCTTGTAAACAGCATCTCTGGGTATTTATCGACATTAGGTGATGATGCATTAACTTACTACAACTCTTATGCTTTTCTGTAATGCCTGTCATCAAGAGAACTGTCAGAGCCCATAAACAGAAATTGCTCAGCACTGAAAGGCAGCTAGCTCTGGGGTGGAACGTAGCAGCTTTTTTCCAGGGTAGAGTAGCATTACACAACGAGTTAGAGAAGGTGGCAAGAAATGCGAGGCAGCGTCTTGCTTTCTGCCAATGCAAGGATGAAATACACTTCATGTTGCATTGGTGAGGCTGCATATTATTGAAATATTTATTTGCTGCTCTCTTTAAAGCTTGTGTCTGCACTAGGAAAGTTTTGCTGGAAGAGTTACGTCAACATACACTCAGGCCAGGCCTACTCTAGACCTGGAAACTCGGCTTAAGGGACGCAACTCCAGCAATGTAGACTATGTAGCTGGAGTCGGCTTACCTTAAGACGAGGTTGGCACCATCCCCATTGTGGGAGAGGCTTCCCTTACTCCTTACAACTGTCAGGAATATAGACACTGAGTGGAGCTGCCTTCAGCATTTGATTGATGGGTCTGTAGTAGACCTGCTCAATCAAATGCCAGAACATGGATCTCCGTCGTGGTGAATGAAGACGTGCCCTCAGTGGAGATGCAGTTTGCTCCTTATACCCAGTGCCGACTTAACCACTAGGCACAGTAGGCACAGTGCCTAGGGCCCACGAAAATGTTTTAATTTTTTTCTCACATCAGGAAAAAATGAAACTTTTAGGGCTCACGAAAATCTATTCAATTTTGTCTAAAACATAAAATGTTGAAGTATTAAAAGTTATATCAAAAATAATTTTTAATATTTTTTTTTATGGAGGATGGGGCTCACGAAGGCAAAAGTGTCTAGGGCCCACGAAATAATGCAGCCCTGTTATACCTGCTCCCCAAGGGACATAAACTGTGCTGGAGAAAGCCCCTATATGCTCCTATGCGTGTGTCCACACTAGAGTTTATACTGGCCCAGCTGCAAAAGCCTCACCAGCTGGCAATGGAGGTAACCTTGGCGGAGTTATTCCCATTTCCACCATCGTGTCCTAGCTCCCTCTGGTGGCAGGGAGAGGCTGTGCATTGCGTGTTCCTGCTCCCCTTTCAAAGCTAGACCTGCCACCATCCCAAGCCCCATGTGCTCCTCGTCTTGCCAGGGTTCCCGCCGTGGATAAGCCAATGTGTGGCTTGCTACCTGGGAGAGAGCTGTCTGGCAGCAAGACCTGTGCGAGACCGGAGGCTGGGTACAGCGAGGCACGGCCACGTGGAAAGTACTGAGTCGGTTGTGAGTCGACCCTGCCCTCCCCCGGAGATGTCTAGTGGAACCTTTCAGCCCTCAGCACAGGAAACGTGCAGTTCCTTTGGGGTTGCCCTCAACTCTCTTGCACAAACACTCCAATCCACCACTCGGGTCCCACCAGAGCTTACATCCAGCCGGGGCTGCGCTCCAGAAAATATTTTCCAACTCACAGGGCAGAAACCCCCAGGCCCCAGCACCCTCCCATGGGGCAGAAGCCTTGAAGCCTGGTGTCCCGCCATCCCTGTGGGGAAATAGCTCTCACCTCAGTGCCCCCCACCCCTCCTACACAGCAGAAGCCCTGCACCCCAGTGCATCCCCCCAACCATGGGGCAGAAGCCTTGAGCCTCGGTACCCTGCAGCTGAAGCCCAGAGCTCAAAATGGGGGCAGACGTGTGGGAAATACTTTGAGAAGTTCACCCCAAGGGGAGCAGCCATCCCCCTCCCCTCACACCTCTGGTCCCACCACCTGTGATCCCCACAACATCAGATCCTCCCGCCCAGCTCTGGAGGCCGGGCAGGGCTGTTACCCACATTGTACACATGGGGAATTGGGGTACAGAGAGTTGAAAGGACTTTGCCCCGGTCTCCACTCCACATGCACCACAACCCCTGGCCGTGAGCACCGTCGCTAGCGCGGCCGAACCTGCCGGGTCGCCAGCACGAGTCGGTGGGAGAACTCTCCACCACTGAGCTACTGGTTCTTGGGGAGCTGGTGTAACTCCACTGTGGGGACTAGCTCTCCTGCTGGGGTCGGTAGAGCCTTCACGACTCATGACAGCGGCGCCCCCTGCAGTGCTGTAAGTGCATACAAAGGAGCTGGGTCTGCTGCGTCCCACCCAAACCACTAGACCACACTGCCTCTCTTGAGGGGCTGTTTCAGACGTGGAGGAAGGGACTTCGAAGCATGGGCAGACCCTGGCCTAGGAGAGGGAGGGCTTTGCCTTCCCAAACCGCCCAGCATGGCCCTGCCTAAACTCTGCCCCCAGGCCGCCATCTGTAGGTGTTCTGGGGGCAGTGTTGCTCCAGGGCGGGGAGGCTGGAGACATGCACCCTCCTCCCTCCCTGGTGGTCGGGGCTGGGAGGTTGGGGCGTGCACGCTCTTCACCTCCGCTCTCTTCCCCTTCCCGAGGTGGGGGGCGGGGCCTCAGCAGAAGGGGCGGAGCTGTAGGTGGGGCAAGGGCCTGCCTCCCCCCACCCTAGCTGCAGACGTCCCCTGGTTCCAAGGGATGAGGACCAGACAGAGCCTGCCCGACAGCTACCCCCACCTCTCTGACCCCCCTGGGACTCCACCTCCGGCTCCTTTGCGGACTGCACTTAAGCCTCGCCTTGGGAGAGCCACATTAACTGAGGGGGGATGGTGAACACACCCGCCCTCCAGCTGACATCACTAATCCAAAACCCCCCTCCCTAGTGTAGACGCAGCTTTGCAGGCAGGGGCGTTCGCTTTGGTCTATGCGGGAAGGGAGGGTCCCTTCCCGGCAAAACACTGCACCTGTAGGTGCATGCCAGGGAGCTACGCTGGCACAGGCTCCGTAATGTAGACACAGCCTAGGTAGGTCCTTGGGCCATTTGTAATCAACGGAGCTACTCGCGAATGTAACACGGTTCCCTGTGAGTAAGTGCGTCCCAGCCTGCAGCTGCGAGTCTCCTGCGCACCCAACATGCTCCTTAAAACTAGCGCTGACATGGCTGGTGCCCCCGTGTCGGTCCCAGGAGCCAGAGAGACAAGGCAGGGCAGGGAACAGCTGTAAAAGAAGAGTTTTGCCTGGAAGCGCCTCTCTTTCAGCAGAGGAAGCTGAGCCAATAAAACCCACCTTACAATTTGGGGTTTGGAAACGGCTGCCGTACGACGAGAGATTAAAAGGTCTGGGACTTTTAAAGGCCTGTATGGAGAAAGTCAATAAGGAAAAGTTATTTACTTGTTCCCATAATATATGAACTAGGGGTCACCAAATGAAATGAATAGGTAGCAGGTTTAAAAAAACAAAAGGAAGTTTTCCTTCAGGCAGTGCACTGTCAACCTGTGGAACTCCTTGCCAGAGGATGCTTTGAAGTCTGGGACTTTTAACAGGGTTCAAAAAGGAACTAAATACATTCATGGAGGTTAGGTCCATCAATGGCTATTAGCCAGGATGGGTAGGAATGGTGTCCCTAGCCTCTGTTTGTCAGAGGCTGGATACCAGTGACAGGAGAGGGATCACTTGATGATTCCCTGATCTGCTCATTCCGTCTCGGACTCTGTTGGAAGAGGACACTGGGCTAGAAGGATCTTTGGTCTGACCCAGTCTGGCCCTTCTTATGTTCTTAATTCAGGTGACTCTAAATGCAGGATTTTGCAGGAATTCAGGGCTCCTGGGGAAGAGGCGCTGCCAGGGTCCCATGCTGTTATCTGGGGGCCTAGATCGGAAGCTTTTGGAGGCAGTGGCCACCTGTTGGCCTGGGTTTGTACAGCCCCGTGCACCAGCCCTCCCAGAACAAGGTGCTGCGGGAGCCGGGCAGCACAGGCACTGAAGTGAAGGGTGGGTGGGGACCTCTCCCATGGGTGTTTATTTACAAGAGAGAGCAGGAAATTCCCTCCAGCGTTGGGAGCTCGGATTTTAACCCCCCGACAGCGTGGTCGGGGCTTCCTGGGCAGGGGCAGAGCCCCGGGGGGCTGGCGCCGCGGGGAGCGAGGCAGAGCCAATGGCAAGTTGCGGGGCCCGGGGAAGCCGAGCCGCAGGGCACCACCCTGCTGCGCCCCGCGCAGCGCTGAAAATCCCGCGCGGCAGCACAGGCCGGGCGACCCGCACGGGGCTGCGCTTTCCGACCGCGCCCAGCGGCGCCCACCCGAGGGGCCAAGCTGGGGACCGGCCCTGCCGGGGTTTCCAGGGGCCAGCGCGACCCCCCTGCCCTGCCCGGCGGCGGGGATTTGGGGCAAGAGAAAGTTCCCCCGGGGGCTGCGCAGGGCGGGGGAGGAGGTCGCGCAGGGGCCGGGGCAGGAGAAACTTACCAGCGCTCCGGTCTCGGTCCCTCCGCCCAGCTCCGCCTTCCCCCGCAGCCCCCAGCGAGCCGCAGGCAGCAGCTGGGCGAGGGCGATTTGCATAGCCCTGCCTGGTCCCACCTTCCCGAGTCAGCAGGGGCGGTGGGGACGGTCCCCCCCGTCACAGCTGGGCTCTGCCGCCGCCTCCCTCCGCCCGGCCGAGCGGGGGGCGGCACGGACGCAGCGGGTGGCTTCCACTAATGGGAGGGAGGGAGGGAGACTGGACACACCCCCAGGCAAAGCGGGGGAAGCGCCTGGCAGACCAGGCAGGAGGGGGCAGGTTGCCAGCTGCGTCCAATCCCTCCCACGTAGTAAAGCTGGGACCCTCTCCCAGCCCGGAGGTTTGGGCAGGGTGGCACCAACGTCCCCAGCGGAGACAACATCTCCCAACCCCACCCAAGCAGCAGGGCAGGCACAGCTGTCTGCAGCCAGCCTGGCTCAGCAGAAGGGCCAGGCCAAAGGGCCATGGAGCCCAGCATCCAGTCTCCTGCCAGTGGCCAACGCCAGGCGCCGCAGAAGGTGTGAACAGAGCAATCCCATCATGCGATTCATCCCCTGCTTCTGACCAACATTTAAATTGTCTCGATCCCTCGGTGGCCAGGGCCAGCACACATGGGTTTCTATTTCTGGCAGGCAGGAGAAACAGCCAGATTGGCCCCCAAAGAGACCAACGCTTAGGTCTGTGTTTTGTCCTGTTGTAAAGGCTCCATCCATGAATTTGCTGGTGCCAAGCTAGAGCTATGACATTAGAGTCCCCATTAAAAGCTCCTCTCCCCCCCCCCCATCCCTCTGCAGCCTGGCAAATGCAATCTGGGATCTGCCTCAAACAGCTCTTTCCGTAGGCCCCCTTCTGCAACACACCTGTGCAAGCGCCATTGTGTGCCTGGGCAACTGAGGGTAGGATTTAGCCTTGGGACAGGAACGTAATTAATCACTTTGCTGATCCAAAGGGCCGGCACAGATTCCAGGTCACTGTGCCAGAGCTGTGGTGGATTGGGAGCCGTTAAACCCAGCAAATATTTAACCAATCCACAAATTAATTAGCCAGCCTTTTAGCAAAAGCTCCAGATCTGCAGAGAAAGAAGGGGCAAGGTTTGGAACGGTCGCTTTTCCAATCACCGGTCAAGTAGTGTTGGGGTGGTGGGTTGGGCGATAGACACATCACTGCAGCCCATTGGTGGGACGAGCACCCTTCTTTTAAGACAGCAGTCTGTCCCCCAGAAGCAAGCAGGGATGTCAAATCCTGGTTAATCAGGATTTTGCCCACGAAAGCTCATGATACTATATATGCGTTAGTCTCTAAGGTACCGCTGGACTACCTGTTCTGGTTAAACAGTAGGTCAACCTAATGTTTCACCGGTTTACCACTAAGCGGACCGTTCCAGCCCAGCTGGAGCAGCCTCCAGTCCAGGGGGCTCCTGCTGCTAGCCCCATGCTGGGGCTGGCTGTCAGCTCCCAGGGCTGGAGAAGTCCCCTGCTCACCACAAGGGGTAGATGCTCCAGCCCCCAACAGTTACCAGTTAACCCTTCAGATCCCTAGACGCAAGCACATGTCACTGCCCAAAACAAAGGGTCCGCTGAGACTTGGAACTTGAACTATGTCAGAGAGAGACTTGGCTAGGGATTATTTTGGTGGTGGTAGTAGTAGTGGTGATGGGGGGTGTGGCGAGGTGGGGGGGGTTATGATGTGAGCAAGAGGTAAAGAGAAGCAGAGACTAGTGATAAGGCAGCAAGGAAGAGCCAGTCACAACTGGAACAAACACTGCAGGGCAAGGCCCTAAGAAAAGTCTAGAGCGAGAGCTTTTGGGCTGAGTGCTGCTGATAAAGGCTTGGAACTGGGGGAGGAGGGATTGTGAGCCCCAGCCAGAGAAACAACTACATGCCATGGAGTTAAGCATACGGCCTCACTTTGCTCAGCCAACACCCTCACTGTGAGGTGGTTAATGACCACATTTGAGCCAGGAGGTGGACAGTAGAATCAACCTGCGTTAGCTCATCAGTGTGAAGGAAGCTGCTGCTGCATGAAATGCCTTATGCGAACGGGGTAAATAGGCAGAGTTGTTGACTCAAGTCCCACAACTTGAACTCGAGTCCGACTTAAATTGCCTAGGTGACTCAACTTGAGACTTGCTAATTTTGTTAAATCGACTTGGTGAAAAAATTGTCCGAAAATGCTGATATTGATGGCTTGTACAAAAGTGACTTGACATTTTTTAAATTAAGACTTGAGACTCGATTTGGGACTTGACTCGAAAGTGACTTTAGGGACTCGAGACTCGACTTGAGACTGGAACTGTAGTGACTTGAGACTCGTCTTGGACTTGACAATGACGACTTGAAGACAACACTGTAAATAGGTGATGCCTTTCCCACAATTACTGGGAAATGGAGCTGGTCAAAAAATGTCTCAACTTTTGAACTTTATCAGTGAAAAACCAGGACAATTTTTCAGCTCAGCTCTGTTGGAAGGTCTAACGGCCCTGAGGTTCTTCTAGAAACTCAATCATTACAATGTGTCCCTTAATCCAGTGTTTCTCAATCTTTTTTTATAAAGTACCCCTTTAAAAAAAAGTACCCCCCAGTACCTACATTTTTCAGACACACATTTTTTTCTAATATTGCAACACATTTGTTTAAACAACTTAATTGTAGCCAGGTGGGTGATGAAATTTTTGGGTGTAAAAAGGACAAAAATAATAAAGCTCTGTAAAACTTAAAACAAAAATGCAGTTTTCTCCAACTTTCAGTTGTGTTGACATACCCCCCCCAAACGTCTCTTGAGTACCCCTAAAGGTACTCGTACCACTGGTTGAGAAACACTGCCCTAATCCAATTGCATTGTATCTAGTATTCCTGGAGAACTGGCATGAAAGGGTATTTCCTTTGTGACAAATTATCACATGGCTGCACTCTGGGTACAAATCCTGTTTGAGCCACTAGAAATCAACCAGTAGCTGATTCTTTACTCTTTAAGGTAAATGGTATGTGAACAACTTGCCCTCTGCCACTGGAAAAAGGAATCCTTCAGGCCGCCTGGCTGGGAAAAGCAGTCTCTTTGCTATGTCACATTAGAGGCAGGGCTGGGTGTGAGCAGAAGAAAACACCCAGCGTGGTCAGGACAAAAACATTAATGGGTAAAAACTTCATTAGAGTAATTGCAGTCTGGTTTGGGGGCTGAGATGCCACCTAATTTGATCAATTATCTTATTTATGACAACAGGTGCAGCTTGTACAGTCCCGTCCATCTGAGGATCTCAAAGCACGTTTAACATGAATTCATTCACAGCCCTCTTTGCTATGCAGCTTTCATGGGGGAGACTCGTGTTTCTCAAATCAGGCGTTGCTCCACAAAAGGAAATTGCAAAAGAGTTATTTTAGGGGGGTTGCATACTGCCACCCTTGCTTCGGCACTGCCTTCAGTGGGTGGCCAGATAGCAGCAGCTGTTGGTCAGACACTCAGCTCTAAAGGCAGCAGTGCCTTGCCAGCAGCAGTGCAGAAATAAGGCAACACCATACCAGGCCATCCTTACTTCTGTGCTGCTGCTGGCAGTAACTGCGCCTTTACAGCTGTCCCCACTCTCTGGACACCCAGCGCTGAAGGCAGAGCCACCGCCAGCAACAGCAGCTTAGAGGTAAGCATAGCTGTACTGCAACTCCCTCCTATAATGTCCCAAAGACACCCTCTCCTTTTTGGGTCAGGACCCCTACAATCACACCACACTGAAATTGTTAAATAGATGAAATAACAAGACACATGATTTTTAAATTCTTATGGCTGTGAAATTGACCAAAATGGACCCTAAATTGGATCGTTTCCCCCCCCCTCCCGATTTATCTAGAGCCATCCATCTTCCAGGCAGAGGCAGATCAGCAGCTAGACTCCTGGGAGGTCCTGTTTTGCCTGAGGTTGAGAGTAGCTTGATTCCCAACTCCTCTGGAGGTCCGTCTCCAGGGGAGAAGCCGCATGACTTCTGGAGGAGTGAGCAAACGTAGTTAGATTTTCCTCTGTGTGCCAGCTCAAATACACATTGTCCCTGGCAGCTCCCAGGCAAGCGCTGATAGTCCCATTCCAGAGGAGCGGGGAGGGTGCCAGCTGTGGATTGGTTTCCCGGGGGAGGCTAAGAAGGTCTGGCCCTGTTCCAAGGGGTAGTGCAAGCCCCTCACCTATTAATCACGAAGGAAAGACAGAGCTGAAATCCATAAGTACATTAGTATGAATTATGAATTCACATAAGTACAAAGTAACTGCACCTGCCAGTACTCCACACTGGGCTGCTGTAACCCAGGCAAACCATCACTTTCATTCAAGCATCCCGAGACATTTCAAACAGGAGTCTGGACAGAACTTTCCTCCTCACAGCTCTGAGGAACTAAGTCCTTCATCTTTCTGTTCTTTTCCCTGCTAAGCCACCATTTCAGTACCAGCCGCCACTCCCTGGTAGATTTCCTCCCTCCTAGGAATATCTTGCTCTCACTTCACTGCTATTAACCTGTGGTAATTACAGCTGCAGGCAGTAGTTAGCAAAGAGCGTGCTGGTTTAAGGGAGGGGTGTGTGTGTGTGGTTAATGAAAAGGGACGAGGTCATTCTTTTTGAGTGGCTGGTTCAAATGACCTGGTGCATTCATTACATCTCACAACCTTCCCGGGGCTAAATGTTAATTAAAATGGACAGTAGTGCCGGTGAGAGGTTGACAGCATGAAATCTTCTGTACGCCAGCACCTTGGAACCCACAGAAGTGGAAGTTTTCCCACTGTCCAGTCAACATGCTTCAAACCTGAGCAGAAAAAGATCACGAACAACGGTGGGTTGCAGGGGGAGGGGAAGCTCAGGACTGGATTAGAAACCAGATTGCTTGACTCCTAGTCATGACCCTTAACCACAAGATCCTGTTCACATGGTGGGGATCAAAGAACCGGAAGGGACCTCGAGAGGTCATCGAGTCCAGTCCCCTGCCCTCATGGCAGGACCAAGCACCGTCTAGATCAGAGACGGGCAACCTAGCCTAACGAGCGGCCCTCCATCTCAGTGGGCCACCAGAGTGTTGTAACCAAGAGGGTCTCCTGGGATAGGGCAGTTTTGCTCACTGTGCTTGCGTGCCTAGAATTTGCAGGCTGTGCCGATTGAACTGTAGCTGCACTTTGATTGGCTGCAGAGGGAGCGCATGGCGCTCACACTCAAAGTCGTGTGCAATCAGCACGCACCCCACTCCAC